AGGGAGCCACTGCCTACATCAGGGTAGCCAAGCAGGGCAAGCGGCAGCAGGACACGGCAAGTCTCCTGAGCACCTCCCAGGACCTGGATTTGACTCTGTGCCCCCTCAAACCCTGTTTCCAGGGTGAGGGATGCTCAAGACGCAGTGCTGTGTGGGACCAGAGTGTGGGGCCGTGCCCCACAGCTGCCCTGGGAGGGGGACACTTCCTGCCCAGCTCCGCTGAGAGCTGGGGTCTTGCCAGACCCTCTCCCCACCGGGTCGCCCCTGTGGCCCCCAGGCTCCTGAACATGGACCCATGTACTGCTTGTGCCCTACAGCCTGTGCCAGGAGCAGCTGCCCGCCACGGGTGTGCCCATCACACACCAGCGCTTCGACCAGATGCGCAGCATGTTCAACGAGTATGTCCGCTCCTCCACACTGCAGAACTGGAAGTTCTGGATCGTATCCTTTGGGGCCAGCGCCTGCTGCTTGCTCTGACCCCTCCACCAAACATCGGGTCCTCTGGTTAACCCACTCCTTCCTGGTCTGGCGGGTCCCTCTAGCTCGAGAGCCTCTGGGGACTAAGGGGAAATGTTTTCCAGTCAAAGGCACATGGTGGGAACATGCCGAGATGCTGTGGTTAGGAGGAAGCTTCTGTTACAAGGATGCAAATGGAGTAGGAGTAAATGGTCGGTCCTCAGGGAAAAGAAAAGTCACCAGCAGAGCTGAGCTCGTGCAGGGAAGAGCTCCTGGTGACATGGGACTTGCTCTGAGAGGCAGCAGCCATCAACTAGGGATTAGACACAAAGCTGGGGACATGATGGCTTGGCCTTGGTAGCCACGTGGCATACTCTGGAAACCCAGGTGTGCCCACGCCCAAGACACAAGTCTGGGCTCCACACGGTGCAAAGGATGGAGGGGATCAAGGGCCAGGGAATGGGTGGTCAAAGGACTGGACCTGCTTCTCCGTACACAGGGATTAGACAGACTGGGACCATTAAGCCTGCAGAGACTGTGAGGTCTACACAATCCCAAGTGGCAGGGGGATGGGCAGGCCTTGCTGCCCACACTCTGATCCAGTGCAGGCAGCCCAGGCAAGGCAGAGGTGGCTCCTGACGCAGAGTTCGGGAGCGCTGTGGAGCTCCTTCCACAGGACACTGGGGATGCTAAAGCTGACATGGGCTCCAGGACATGGTCACAGTGGAGGTATCTGCTGTGGATTCCCACATGCACAGAATCACCCATCCCCAGCGATGGTCCCTGCAGGCTGGGAGCACCAGGAGAGCACACTGGGCACGCTGGTGGTGTGCCCTGCTCCTGGGCACTCCAGAGGACACTGCGCTGGCTCCTTGATCTGCTCTGGAAGAGTTGTCTCATGTCTAATCAACCATTTCTGGCAGCCTCAGTCATGACAGGGGTTACACAGCTCTCCCACTGCCTGCCCTGGGTGACGCTCAGGTCCCCATCACCCCAGCAGTATGGGCTGGTGCCCAGCGTGGCACTGCGCTGAGGAGGGCACCCGGCAGGTCTGCCGCATGGCGAGGCAGGGAGCTTTGTCCTGCTGCCTGTAGGAGGGTGCTGCCCACACCTGGTGGGTGGGAGACCATGGCCTTGGCAAGGCTGGTCCTTAACTCCGCTGCTCCTATCAGTTCAGTATCATCATCCGGCCCCTCTTCGAGTCTTTCAACGGCATGGTCTCCACGGCCAGCATGGAGAGCCTCACCCAGACGTCTCTCGCCTGGCTGGACCAACACTGCTCCCTCCCAGCACTTCGACCGAGTAGGTGGCTCTTCTCCTGTCTGTGCACCCTGAAGAAGCCGAGTTGGCCCACTGGCATGGGCTGACGGAAAAGCAGAGGGGAAAAGGACGGGAGGGTCCTGGGGGTCAGTGGGGGTAGCACTGCACCACTCTTCTGCTGCACGGGAGGGAAGCACCCGCGGGACGTCTTGGGGCTGTGTGCTCAGTGCTTTTCTGTACTCCTTTCACACCTGCGCTTCAGCTGAGCTGGCTGCTGCTGCCCTAACCCAAGAGCCCAGGTCCTGGCTTGGCAGAGCCCTACAGGGTTGGTTTTGCTCTTTCTGCTGGGGACGGTGGCAGGGAGCCTTGGTGCCGTTCCAGGGGGTGGAGTGGGGACAGGAAGAGCCATCTTCCCCAGGATGGGTTAACCCGGGCCTCTTCCAGCCCCCAAGGCGCGGGGGGTGGGGGGGGAGCTGACATGTACCATGTCTCCCTGCAGCCGTCCTGAGCTCCCTTCGACAGCTGAGCATTTCCACCTCCATCCTGAGCGACCCGGCCTGCATCCCCGAGCAGGCGACGCGGGCAGTGGCGGGGATGGCAGGGATGAGTCGTGGCGGCGGCTCCTCCTAGCTGCCCCCCAAGGGGCTTTCCCAGCCTTGCTACGACCCTCGGTGCTGCCAGACGAACG